AATGACATGAAATTTCACACAGATGTCAAAGACAGTACTACTAATTTAATCAAAAAAATATTTGTCAGAATCGATGAACCCGCGCAGTTTAAATGTAAAAATCTCGTTTATATTTGATCACAGTAGTATATCACAATATATACACTAAAAAATTTAAAAAATGTGTCAAACTCTTATTATACTCTTTTTATGCAATCTTTGATTAATCGAAAATGTTGAAATTTCGACGCAAGTTTCGACAACTTTTCGATCTTAACGATGTCGAAACGACATCGTTTCGAAAACCTATTTCTAACTGGGAAATACATTTGCCATCGCTTTTTTTCTAGGAAGAGCGAAAAAAAGATGGCTTTTCCTAGAAATGGACGTATGTATCAAGAGAAGCACTGATAATCCGGCTGCTAAAATAAATAGATAAAACAATCTGCGACTCGGAGGACAGGACGCACGAACATAACGTAACAGGGCCCACGGCCCGCCGCCGCCGTCGCCGTCGCCTCCGCCACCGTCGCCGCCCGCTTAAATAATTTAAATACATTTGATTTAAGCGTGAAACATATATTTCTTATATTGTCTTTTTTTCTTCTTACATACAAAAAAAGCTAACAGCTCGCAATCGATGAGTTGATGCCTATCGAAGATATCACTATTTAGCAAAGTGTCGATAATTCGGCTACTATAAACAAATTACAATTCAAAAAAGACCTATAATGATGCTCCGATTTAGACAAAAGAAGTAGCATTGACGATTGTACGTGTCGCGGCATGTTGTGAGAAGCGCTGATAATACGACTGCTATAAATTGCGACTCAGAGAATTATAAACAAATTGCGAGGACCTAGCAGGGCGTGGGGACCGGCGTTCACAGCTGCCATCGTCCGCCACTATGCTCTCATATAAGGTGATCGCGCAAAGAGAGCTCGAAGAAGTGGAACAAGTGCTAGCTTGCGTTCCGGACAAGATCGCGGACGGGGTCGCGGATTCTTTCTTTAACGTCTAGAAAAATTTTTGAATTCCGAACGAGATTATGGATGAGATCGTGGATTCTTTCTTCAATATCTAGAAAAAATGTTTTGAGTTCCGGACAAAATTGTGGACGAGATC